GGAGGAGAGAGGGGAATGCAGCCTGCTGATAACCAGGGTGGGGTCCTAAAAGGTAGGTGTGGGGTCGAAATGGCCTTTAGACCATCACACTTGGGAGGGGTGGGAGGGACCAGAGTGGTCATAAACAAGGCGTGGCCCTTGAAATGGACTCCAAACCATTTCATTTGGAGGGGTGGCAAAAAGCAGGGGTGGCTCTGAAAAGGATGGGCCTTGAGATGGCCCTTAAAACATTCCAATTGGAGTGGTCCTAAAAACAAGGGTGATCGTGCAAAAAACGTTGGCTTTGAAACAGCCTTCAATCCATTCCCGTTGGAAAACCCAGGGTGGGGATAAAAAGAGGCCCTTTAAACTAAAAGAGGGGTCGTAAACCAAGGGTGATCATCAAAAGGGGTGGACCTTGAAATGGCCTTCAAAGCACTTCAGGTGGAGGGGTTGTAAGGACCCAGGGTGATCGTCAGGGCGAGGGGGGGGGGGGGGGGGGGGGGGGGGGGGGGTAAACCACCAGTACATGCCCCCAGCCAAGTTGAGAATCACGTCTGATCCTCCCCGGAAAAATCGGAGGCTCAGGGCAACCGGACCAAAATGGCCGGCAGCACCAGCCAAAACTAAACGAAAATGCCGCACTGGCGTTTCAGCAGAACTTGGCACGCAGTGGAATCCATCTGGCACAAAAGAGGCCCGGATGTACTGGTGGTTTAAACCGTTTCAGTTCAAGGGGTCGTAAAACCCAGGGTGGTCATCAAAAGGGTGGGCTTTGAAATGCCTTCAAAGTTCAAACCATTTCGGACGGAGGGATCGAAAAACAAGGGTTATCGTAACACAAGGGTGGGCCTTGAAATGGGATTTAAACCAGCGCGGCCTTTTACAACCACCCTGTTTCCATTGTACAACCCCGCGAACAGAAAAAGGTAGCCGTTTAAAGGCCATTGCACATTTCAAGTCGCCAGGTACTTACTCAACAGTCAATTTTCCAAACCACCAGTACTTTCGAAAGCCGCCGCCGCCGCATGCATGTCGCGACTTGGTGGGATAAACGGGCCTGAGGCACTGGCATAGATTCAAATTCATTCAAGTGCAAACGTCATAGCACTGAAGCAATGGCTGGCTGCGCGCACGCCGCAATTTTTGGAAGTACTGGTGGTTTCAAGCGCCGGATTTCCGTCACATAAGTTACATAAGCTGTGATTCGGGCAAATCTCGTCCAGATGGAACTGATCACCGCATCCGGATATAGCGCCGGATTTCCGTCACATAAGCTACATAAGCTGTGATTCGGGCAAATCTCGTCCAGATGGAACTGATCACCGCATGCGAATATAGTAGATCCCCCAAAATGCAGACTCACTAAAGCAACCGACTTTTCGAAAAGGTCATTGGTACAAACAATAAAGCAACCGACTTTTCGAAAAGGTCCTTGGTACAAACAATAAAGCAACCGACTTTTCGAAAACGTCATTGGTACAAACAATTTCTATGCAATAGGTGATCCAAGGATCGACTCACTATAGCAAAACGAAAAGAGAAAAGCAAAAAACAAAATGCAACGGCCATATGGCTATACGGCATGCGCCTTATCCAACACATAGCCTTTCCCGTCTAACTCGTTGGCCGTCATGTTCATGACACGGTGATGATAACCCCGTTTAACTGCAGGAGTCAAAATTCCCCCAAATGACAACATATAGCCTTCTTCCCATGATGATGATCAGTGTGCTTTCCACTAAGGATCTGGAGTGGCCCCAGGAAACGCTGCAAGACCCGAAAGAACGAGAAGAAGGACGCGGCGCGTACAGAGAATGAAGAGGAGGCGCAGCGCACAGAGAATGAAGAGGAAAAGGAGGTGGTGGACGAAGTGGATGCTGGTCAGTGCAGAGCATACTGACAGGAAGACTTTATAGCATGAATTTGCCTGCTATTATGGCTACGTTCAGTCGAAAAAACGTCCCGGTGTGATGTGAATATGGTATTGCTTCATTTGCTATGAACATCATAAGGGGTGCGTTAGATATTTATAGCAAACCCATCTCCACATCGCACTACCATCTTTCCCCGTATACATTCATAATCAGGGTGTGTTATGTTCGGGGAAAGACGGTAGAACTTCAAAGGTTATTTATAGATACATTGGTTTATAGACACATAGGTTGTCTATACGATTAACAAAAACTCAGACAGAAAAAAAAAAAAAAAAAAAAAAAGAAGAAGAAGAAAGAAAGAAAGGACAGCAAGACCACTCTCTGCCATCCATGAGTGGGTGATCATTCGCGTGTGTTTTACGAAGAAGAGACTTATCAATCTGTCCGTACGGCTAAGAAGAGACTTATCACTCTGTCCGTACGGCTAAGAAGAGACTTATCAATCTGTCCGTAGGGCNGAGAGAGAGAGAGAGAGAGAGAGAGAGAGAGAGAGAGAGAGAGAGAGAGAGAGAGAGAGAGAGAGAGAGAGAGAGAGAGAGAGGAAATGGGTACGAAGTACTACAAACTACAAAGAATGAGAGGAACAGAGATTGGCATAGATAAACACAGAGAGAGAGAAGGAGACAGTATGAGGGGAGGGAATTAGATCAGGATGAGGGAGCACAGGACAAGAAAGGAAGAGAGAGAGCCAAAGTAAAAGCCGATGTGCTGAGCCATTACCTTATTGATTGCGATGACGATGGGCACATTTGCTGCCTTTGCATGAGCAATTGCTTCTAGGGTCTGAGGTCGCACTCCATCATCAGCAGCAACAACAATGATCGCGATGTCCGTTACACGTGCACCTCGTGCACGCATGGCACTGAACGCCTGCACAACAAATAGAACCACCCAAAAGCAGATTCCACCGATCATGTGTCAGAAATAATGACTGTACAGGCGTGCGCATCCCTCACGTCATATCGCATCAAGTTTTTACTATGAACAAGAATGGATGGAAACAGATAGTTTTACCACTACTTTTTTTTTTTAAGATTTATTTTTTTCCCCCTTCTTTTTATTTATGCGTGTCATCCTTGCTCAGGGGCCACTCTATTTTTTAAAGAAAAGGAGGATGAAAGGATTCACGACTCTCAGAGACCCGGTCCAGTCCCATAACTCGTTTTCTAATGTACAAAATGTGCGTTTTTCTTAGAAGACACTTCGGCAAGTTCCCGTCTTGACAGTGTCAGCAGCTTAAGTAAGCCGACACGTTTTAGTTCTGGGTCTGCTGAAGATTGTAACGGGAATTTCAAGCTAGTTAGGGCCATGGTAGGTGTAGGTAGCACAAGTAGCTGTAGGATCTGGAGCCTCAAGTTGGCAAGTCTGTGTCGCGTAGTCTCAGGCCAGTTTAGATCGTGGCAAGTAAGAGACTGCCATGCGTCACACACTTGCAACGAGTGCTCACACAAAGCCGGACAAACACTGAATGCACATGAGCTCAAGAAATTGCCTCGGCAACAACACAGAATTGCAGAATTGTCTTTCTTCTTCCTGCGGTTATGGCTGCCACTCCACACTTGACACAATACTTGGCAGCTCTACCTACCTCAATCATATATTCTCTCTTACTACCTGGTCTACGCTCACCCTCACGAGTCACAACTCACAGGTCACTCTGATCGCTCTCTGAAAGTCCTCCAGCTCTCTCTCTCTCTCTCTCAAACTATAGCTATGGCGCCTGGAGCCATCGATGACTACTACTGATCAGCTCGCTAGCTCGAGGGATGCTGTGCCGCACAAGAAAGCTGCAGCGCTTCCGCGTTAAATGCCAAGAATGAATGCCTTGTCTTAACCCTGGAAGCCTTTACACACTGCTGCTGCTTGCGGCTGGGCCCTCCCTTGGGGCTGGCTGGCTCTCCAACATCTGGTACTGGTCGGTCCTTAGGACTGAGCTGCGACACTGCCTATCCCTACATCTACTTGTGCTATGGCCATCTTGGCTCGGTCTGAACTTAGCCTGGATCTGCCTTTGGCTACAGTCCCTGAGTTCCACCTGTTTTGAGGGGGTTGCTTGGAACAACCTGAACTGGCCTCGATCTGCCTTAGGCTACACACCCTGAGTTCCGCTTGTGTTGTGAATACCACACCATTTTTAGCAGTCCCTTGAACTCTGTTCAGTTCCAGTTTCAAAACCACCACTACACCATGCAGTGAACAGGATCTGCACCAGTATACAAAAGACCGAGGACAGGGGGCACCAAGGGGCGTTGAGGGATGGGAGGGCGGGGTGGGGGGAGCGGGAAAGTCTTGACTGGCCCATCTCAGTCATCATCACACTCGCTCCATGGTTAATGTCTTCAAAGATAGGCGTTGAGACTCACCATGCAGGAAAGGAAAAGAATTGGAGGAGCAAGAGGACAGGGTTTACATTCAAACTTTGCAAGGGGGTGTATTATTTGAATTATGGGAAATTTGCTCTATTTCAGTCCGAGGAGCGTGCGGTATTCCAACTCTCCAGGTCGTGTTTTATTCCTGTTTTGCAAGGGTCCTGTCCACACTCCAAATGTTTGTTGTACCTGAGTCCAACAGTTTCTTTTTCCTTTGGGGGGAAAGGAGGCATGGGGGGCATGGGGGCATGTTTAAACCACTCATCCCTTTCCCAGCTATTTGGTTCCAACGTGGCAGGTTAACAAGGGCTCAACCTACCAGAGAAAATAGCTCACGGGTGCGGCAGAAAGAAAATATGTTGCGCCCCCGCGCCCGTTTGTCATTTTCGGCACGCAGAAGCAATCTGCATCAGGAAAAAGAGGCTCAAAAAGACTGGTGGTTTAAGGCGGTAGTAGCCTGTAACCTTACTGTATCCAACAGGGTCCGAACACCGAATCTGTTTATCAACTCAGCCACCACGGTCGGGCACAGTTTTGCTTTTCAAGTCTGAGCCCACCTGAGGGTCCGCAGGTGGTATGTTCTAGAACAGTGCGAGTGTCAGCATGTAAGCAATGCGATGGGGGTACTACTTGTTCTGCAGCCAGCCGAATGTGATCGTGTACACAATTTTATGCGTACTATTTGTAGAACAGTCAGCCAGTAGCATGGTGATCCAAATGAGTTGTGTATGTTATGAATATACTATGTGCATAGTACTGCATACTATGTGTTTGCAACATTAACGATAATGTATCTGCTGTCGTGTGAGGGAATTCCACGAATGAGTGATTGCAGACGATAGCAGAGACTAACCTTGTCTGTATCGTTCCAATTTTATTATTTTAACGATGTCCCGAAACTATAGATTTCAAATTTCCAAATAACAGAGAAATCTATGGTGGACCTAGGCTACCAGCCGGGCCGCCCAGGTCACCCTGTTTGCCCAGGCGGGCCAGCCATGCAAGGGAGGCCCAAAGAAGGTCCCAGCAAAAAGGGCGAAAAAAAAATCCAGAAAATCAGGAAAGAAACTATGGTGGAGCTACGCTACCAGCCGGGCCACCCCGATCAGCCTGTTTGCCCCGGCAGGAGGTCCCAGCAAAAAGGGGGGGGTTGAAAAAAAAATCCAAAAAATCTGAAAAAAAAGCTATGTCATCATGCAGTAAAATAAAATGAACAACTCTTGCCTCAGGGTCACATCACAATTCTTTACCAAATTTAAAATAAAATATATATATCGTCAAATATATATATCGTCACAAACAGAACTGCCCAGTAAAACCGTAGGCAGAGAGAGAGAAGAGGACAACAAACGAGGGGCTGTGACAAACTGTTTCGTCGGAGTTTCACCGACTCATCAGGAGGCTGAACCCTCAACAGTCTGCA